GTGTGGACTGGGGCCCTTCCGCAGCCCCGAGCGCCCCTCCGCACCTAGCGGTCTGGGCCGCTGCCAGGGTCACCCCAGGACCGGCGGGGTTGGTGCAGCTTCTCTCCGGAGCAGCGTGGCGGCTGCGCTCAAACAGCCCATTACTCAGCTCTCTGGGGCAGAAGCGAGAGCCACTCACCCTCTAGGCCCGAGGGCACCCAGGGCGCAAAACCGACCGAGCTCCTGCCCTGGGCTGACCACCAAGAGGGAGACCCGAGGGTCTTCCAGGGCAGCATTGGGGAAGGTCTTTGCGGCTTCATGAACACTGAGATTCCAGTTTTTCCCTGTGAAGTCAAAAACCTAAAGTGTCCTTCATTTCATCTTCACTGACAACTGTGTGCTTAGGGACTGGACCTTCAGACGTGACCAAAATTTTGGTTCCTCTTGTTGAGCTAACACTGCAGCTGCAGCGCTGGGTTTATAAGGAAATGAAGTCGTTCTTTCCAGACGATGAAAAGTGCTAGGTGGTGTGATGGGTGGTGTGATGACAGGTGAAACCTGAGGGAAGTGGTTCCTTTACCAGATAGTCGCCTGGGTTGGAAAGGTGAGAGCTGAGCCCTTACTTAGAAGGGAAGCTGGCCTTGCAGACATCTGGGGAAAGAGCTTTAGGTGGAGGGAAATCGCCAGTGCAAAGGCCCTGAGGCAGGACTGAGCCAGTGTGAGCAGGAGGAACAGGTCAGAAGGCCTGACAGCAGAGTGGGTAGGTCTGTACTGTGCAGATAGTTTCAGGCCCTGATGACAAGTTTATATTATATTCCAAATGATGTGGGATACTAGAGAAGTGTTTTAAACCAGGATGGGACATTACCTGGTTTGTGTTTTAAAGAGCAGTCCTATGGAGCACCATAACAAACTAACTAGTGGAGGCATATACAGTTGTTATGTGCCATCGAGTTGCCTGCGACTCATAGCGACCCTATGTACAAGAGCCCTAAACTCTGCTCTGTCCTGTGCCAGTCGCACTGTCTCCGACACACCCATACCGATTACCCCAGTCAGCGAATCAATCCACCTCATAGAGGGCTGTCCCTCCACCCTCCCAAGCATGATGTCCTTCTCCAAGGACCGGTCTCTCCTCACAACATGTCCAAAGTATGTCAGACGAAGCCGCAGAATCCTTGCCTCCAAGGAGCCGCCTGGTTTAACCCTTTCCAGGATGAATCTGTTTTCCTAGCAGTCCATGGTACTCTTCTCCAGCACCAAAGCTCAAAGGCATCAATTCTCCTTCTATCCTCCTTAGTCACTGTCCAACTCTCTGAGGCATAACAAGTAATTGCAAAGACTATGGCCTGTATCAGGTGCACCTTAGTCCCCAGGGTGACACCATTGCTCTTCAGTACTTTGGAGAGGTTCCTAACAGCAGACTTTCCCATCGCAATACATCTTTTAATTTCCTGGATGCTGGTGCTGAGAGTGCTGCTGCATCATCATCGTCATCATTATTATCAGTATTTTTATCATCATCATCACTATTATTATAGGAGACTTAATGGTACTTGGCTGCACTGCTAAAAAGTCAGTGGTTTGAACCTACCATTGGCCTTGCAGGAGAAATATGAGCCAGTCTGTTTCTGTAAAGATTTACAATCTTGAAAGTTCAACGGAGAACTTCTATTAAGTAGAAATGGACCTGATCACAACATATTTATTTTGGGGTTTTGATTATTATTATAATCCCCATTTATAGATTGGGAGGCACAGAGACATTAAGTGATTTGTCCAAGGTGACTCAGCTTGCTATGTAGAGGCGAAGCCAGGCTAGAATGTAGTGCTTTCCCCCAGTCTGTGTTTCTAACCATTACACTGTCCAGCTTCTCACTCTGTGACCCAGGAACGGGGTCATGGCACAAGGCACAGTCAGTTCCAGCTCCGATTCCAGAACATATCCTTAACTGCATAGACACAGCGCCTGAGCCTGAGGGAAACTGAGTCACAGTGAGGAAAGACCTAGCCCTTTGCTTCTTTCTGTTCCTTCCTAGGTTAATTCGTCCCCATTCCCCCAAAAAGATGATCCAACAGAATCTGGAAATCATCAAACAATGTCATTAACATCACATGCAAGTAAAATCTTGCTGAAGATTGTTTTAAAACATCTAGAACAGCAATAGGGGACTGCCAGAAATTCAGTCTGGATTCAGAAGGGGCACAAGGAGTATCATTGCTAATGTCAGATCTTGGCTAAAGTAGAGAATACCAAAAAAGATGTTTACTTGTATTTTATTTATTATGCAAAGGCATTTGACTATGTGGTTCATAACAAATTATGGCTAAAATTGGATGGGAATCTCTGTACACTTAACTGCACCTATGTGAAACCTATATATATAGACCAAAAAGCAGTTGTCTGAATAGAACAAGGCATGGTTTAAATCAGGAAGTGTACATCAGGGTTGTATCCTTTCTCCACACCTATTCAATCTATATGCTGAGTAATTAATTTGAGAAGCCGGACTATATGAAGAAAAATATGGGCTCAAGATTTGGGGAAGACTCATCAACAACCTGTGTGATGCAGATGACACAATCTTGCTTGTGGAAAGTGAGGACTTGAAATACTTGCTGCGGAAGATCAAAGACTACAGCCTCCAATATGAGTTACATTCAACATCCAAAAGACAAAAATTCAGTATCGTGATAAATGGAAAAGAGATTGAAGTTGTCGATATTATAATTTTACTTGGATCCACAAACAATACTCGTGGTAGCAGCAGTTAAGAAATCAAAAGACTTGTTGCATTCAGTAATCCGCTGTCAGGGACTTCTCCAAAGTGTTAAAGAGTAAGGATGCCAGTTTAAAGACTAAGGTATGCCTGACCCAAGCTATGGCCTTTTCAGTTACTTTCTATTCATGTGAAATTTGACAGTGAATAAGGATGACAGAAAAAGAATTGATGCCTTTGAATTGTGGTGTTGGAGAAGAGTATGGAATAGTCTGTCTTGAAGGAAGTATAGTCCAAGTGCTTTTTTTAAAAAAAAATAATTTTAATGTAAGTTTACAGACACTTAGGGTTTCCATTCATTCATTGTTGCACTTTTCTCCCTGCCCACCCTTCTCCCCCAATTTGCTCTTCTCATTGAAAAGTAAAAGAAAAACTCTTTTATTGTTATACAATCCCTCCCCCTCAAGTCCACGCCACTGTGCAGTCTTCATTCTGAACTCCTGTCATGACAATAATACCCAATCATATATCCCTTTTAAACAGTTCTCTCCCTCATCTGTTTCAACGCAGTAGACATTATTTATCCTGTCTTTCTCAGTCTTCCCTCAACCCCAATGTCAGTTTCATTTTACAACAGTGGCCCTGTGCAGTATTTGTCCAAGTGCTTCTTAGAGGCAAGGATGGTGAGATTTTATCTCACTTACCCTGGGCATATTGTTTAGAGGAACCAGTCTCTGGGGAGAGAAATCATGCTGGGAAAAGTAGAGGGTCACCAAAAGGGGCGAAGACCCTCATAGGCAAACAGTCACTACCACCTTGAGCTTGAACTTGAGGAAGATTATACGGATGGCACCTAGAACGAGGCTAGATCTATTGTTCATAGGGTTGCTATGAGAAGTAGTCGACTCGATGATACCTGACAACCACAGGTTAATTCAACAGCTATTTACTGTATATAGGCTGGGCAGAGCTGGGACTGGCTGGTGATAGAGCTGGAGGTGCAAATGAACTTCCACTCAGTCCCTACCCTGCTCAGAGTTCCCAAGCTGGCCAGTTCCAAACAGCATCCACAGATCAGCCACTAGAGATAGACTTCAGGGTCAAAAAAAGAGTGGGGTCAAAAAAAGAGTGGGTTCAAGTCTCAGTTCTGATTCCCTGCACATTGTGACCTGGGGCTGTTTGGTCAGGAATCTGTTTCTCATGTCTCTGAGCCCTATTTTCTTCCAGAGTCAACTTTACTCTCATGCCAGCCCTTCCCTCCTAGGTGAAGGTGGCCTGCAGTCATTCCAGGCAGGTAAACACCAGGCTTAACACTCCCTCTGAGCAAACACCTCTGCTCCAGCTACACGGATGGGCAGGGCGTGGGAACGTGCTGTTGTTCAGCTCTCTGAGTCGTGGACATCACACTGGGGCTGGATGATGGTGAAGGAGGTGGCACAGCCTTCTCTATCCAAAGCTCAGAGAACTGAGCACTTGGTCTGGGGCAGGGAATAGATGCCAAAATAACATGTCTGCTACTAGAGGCTCCTAGCAAAGGTTGATGTGAGAGCTGGGGCTGAGAAGGTGGGTGAGCGATTGTCAGACCAGAAGCCACAAGAGCAGACCAGACAGAAGCACAGACACGTCTGGTACGTGCTGGGAACAACAGGGTGTACAGGGTGTGTGAGGTGAGGAGAGCAGATTGAGGCACAGGGAAGTGGCCAAAGAGTCGGGCTATCGTCTGCAATGAACAGATATAACCTGCTGGATTAACCGGATGGATTTAGTCATGTAAGTGATGGGAGCCATGGAGAGTTCAAAGGCGACAATGTTGCCCAGTCTTTCTAATGCCCTTGGCTCTTTTGGGGCTCCATTTTGTAGCTTCTCAAGACAGCTTCATCTTCTCAAGCTTCGTGCTTTCCCTTCCACCTCAGCCCCCCGCACCTCTAGCTTCTCTCACACCCCACCTCTCTCTTATTGCCCTTTTCCGCTTGAGACTCTTAGGCAGCCAACCTCTTAAGTACACAGGTTTGGGAGGCA